GACATGGCAAGTCCTGGAAGTGACCTTAAACTGCTTTTTGCAACGGAAGCATTTAGTATGGGTACAGATTCACCAAATGTTAGAAGGGTTATTCATGCTGGAGTTCCAAAAACACTAGAAAGTATGTTTCAAATACAATTGCAAATTAAGTAGTCTATAATAAGATAATTTCACTGATCACTCGAGATGATTTTCATTGAAAATTGGATTTTGTCCTCTAACTATATGCTTTCAGATATCACATCGAACAAAAAAAAAGCCTCATTTTCGACCTGTACACTTGACAAGTTTACGATAAAAATGAAAACAAACAGACAAGTTACTTGCATATTATAGTTTGTTAATATATATACATGAATGTATTTCAAAACATCATAATTCAGTGGTACAAAAAAAGCAATAAATAATATGCATATATATATATATATATATATATATATATATACAATGTCTATACATATGTACAATTAAATTCATCAATTTATACACACAAAAAAAAAACCAAGTTAAATACTGTAATACAGTATTGGAATGTCCATTTATCAAATTTTGTATAAATTTATCGTTTTATACAAAAATCTACCAGTAAAAACATTTGTTAACGTTTCAAAATTTGGAATGTTCTTCTTAATTTAAATTAACCTATATATATGTACATGTATGTTATACATGTGTTTTTACATGTATGCAAACATAAACAATGATAGATAACAATTAACATGTTAATTTATTTTCATTTCAGTATACATACAAGAAATAGTTAGAGCTGGAAGAGATGGTAAATCATCAACAGCTATTTTGTACTATAACAAATCTGATATTTCACAAGCTGTTCCTGGTATGACAGATGGAATGAGAGATTATTGCAATTCAAAAACTTGTCGACGTGCCTATTTATGTGAACATTTTGGTTGTGAATTCAGTGAAATGAATTTCAAGCATGAATGTTGTGATTTATGTGAAATGGAATGCACATGTAATCAGTGTTCTGAAACAAAAAGTAAAATTCCAAGTGAAATGGAACAAACAGACAATATCATTGATGTGCCACAATCTGCTACTGATGTTGGTTTAAAAAGTTCAATATTAGCAACTGTTATCGACTATTTTGAATCAGAAAACGAATGTCTTAACATGCCAAATGCAGCAATTTATACAGGTCTCACCAAAGAGCTTGCAAATTTGATATCTGAGAACTATCAAGCCTACCTTTCTGGTACCATTATACTAGAACAATATCCTAAAATTGGTCTAGAAATTGCAGAAAACATTTCAATCATTGTTCAAAGTATTGTGCTAAACAATTCATATCATTAAAATCTTAATTAATCATCATTATTTATTATTGTATTTTTGCAGACCAGCAGTTGTATAGATATGGTTTTAGGCTTAACCAATTTGATTTGTACTTTTTTAATTCATGCACTAATGCTGGGGAAAAAAACCCATTAAGGTGATCAAAAGTATTTTTTCTGCATTTAATAAAGAAATTTCAAGTCATAGTATAAAGAATGGAACTGGGGAATGTGTCAAAGAGACATCAACCTAACCAAAATATACAAATTCAACCGAATGCTATCAATGTGACTTAAGTTTATTCTTATGAATCTTGTGTCATACAATGTAAAATGCATGTTTAAAGACTTTGAAAGTGATGCCGCGATGTCTTGATCTTTATTCCATACAACTAGAGGAGCCAAAAAGAATATTTGAATTGTATTTGAAAGTATAGCATATATATATAGCTGCAGTGCGGAAACATGCCCCCAAACACCACACTGAGGAATAAACCTTATTTATTAAGATAACTTTTTAGAAAAAAATGATTTGAAAAAGAGAGGATCTTGGATAAACAAAACAAATTTTATCACATTTTAAATAAACTGCTTCGCTGAGCGCAGCTGGATACGCCCGCAGAGGTCCAACCCTGAACAGTTGGGGCAAAAATGGACACAATATTCAAGCTTGATACAGGTCTGAATTTGGATTATTAAATATTTGATATATTATAGGTTTCTGAATAAATGTAGTCAAAGAACTTGAAATTGGTTATATGAAAGATTTCTTGCTGTTGTGCAATACACTGTGCTTTTACGCAATACTTAGTAAATCTGTTGTCAGACTATAAACAAATAAAATCTTATAACTCGGAAACGTAAAATCGAAAATTTATAGAAATCAAAAGGGAGCTTACAAAAATAGATATAAACAATTTACCAAAGTTTCATAAAACATGCTGAAAGCATTTTTGAGTTATTGTCCGAAAACTGGAAAATCCCCATTTTGTAATGAATAAAACCCCATAAATCGGAAACGTATAATCTGAAGTTTATAAAAATCAAAAGGGAGCTCATGTCCATAGAAATAAACAATTCACCAAAGTTTTTTTGCAAATTGGTGAAATTTTTTTTGAGTTATTGTCTGAAAACTGGAAAATCCCCCCTTTTATAATGAATAAAACCCCAAAATTCGGAAACGGTATATCCGAAATTTATAAAAAACGAAAGGGAGCTCACGTCAATAGATATGAACATTTCACAAAAGTTTCATGTAAATTGGTGAAATTTTGTTTGAGTTATTGTCCGAAAACTGGAAAATCCCCCCTTTTTTAATGAATAAAACCCCAAAACTCGGAAACGGTAAATCCGAAATTCATAAACATCGAAAGGGAGCTCATGTCAATAGATATGAACAATTCACAAAAAGATTCATGCAAATTGGTGAAATTGTATTTGAGTTATTGTCCGAAAACTGTAAAAATTCCCCCTTTTTTAATGAATAAAACCCAAAAACTCGTAAATGGTAAATCTGAAATTTATAAAAAAACGAAAGGGAGCTCACGTCAATAGAAATAAACAATTCACCAAAGTTTCAAGCATATTGGTTAAAGCGTTTTTGAATTAATGTCCGACATGTTGACGACGGACGGCCGGACAGACGGACAACAGTAAACCATAATACGTCCCGTAAACGGGCGTATAAAAACATATAGATCGATTCTTTATATCTATATATATATATATATATACATTACATGCATATTGGTAACACATTAAATAAAATGCTCCGCTGGGGCGCAGCTTGATACGACCGCAGAGGTCGAACCCTGAACAGTTGGGGCAAGTATGGACACAACATTCAAGCTTCATACAGCACTGAATTTGGATTGTAATTAAATATTTGACACAGCATAGGTTTCTGATACAGAAAGAATGTGGTCTACAACTTAAAAAATTTTAATTTACCTATTCAAACCATATCATTATTATTTGCTTTTATATATAAATCAGAAATAACCAATGTAAAATGGAAAATTTTAAAGAAAGAAAAAAGGAACCCCCCCCCCCCAATTTTTTGAACCCCCTTATGATTCATCACCCCCAAACTCAATCCCAGCCTTCCCTTTGTGGTATGGTACCTTGCAGTACAATTTCAGAGAGATCCATACACTTGAACACAAGTTATTGTCTGGAAACTAGAAAAATGCTTGTTTTTTGGCCCCAAATTCCTCAACGTTTAGGGCAATTACCCCCAAACTCAAACCCATCTTTTTCTTTGTGATATGGAACCTTGCAGTACAATTTCATAAAGATCCATACACTTACACAAAAGTTATTGTCCTGAAACTAGAAAAATGCTTGTTTTTTTGCCCCTTTATGGCCCCTAATTCCTAACATTTTGAGGCAATTACCCCCAAAATCAATCCCAGCCTTCCCTTTGTGGTATGGCACCTTGCAGTACAATTTCAGAGAGATCCATACACTTGAACACAAGTTATTGTCTGGAAACTAGAAAAATGCTTATTTTTGGCCCCTTATTCCTAAACGTTTTGGGCAATTACCCCAATCTCAATTCCAGCTTTCCCTTTGTGATATGGAACCTTGTAGTAAAATTTCATAAAGATCCATACACTTACACACAAGTTATTGACATGAGACTAGAAAAATGCTTGTTTCTTGGCCCCTAATTTCTAAAATTTGGAAACAATTACCCCCAAAATCAATCCCAGCATTCCCTTTGTGATATGGAACCTTGTGGTACAATGTCAGAGAGATCCATACACTTACACACAAGTTATTGTCATGAAACTAGAAAAATGCTTGTTTTTTTACCCTTTTTGACCCCTTATTCCTAAAATTTGGAGGCAATTACCCCCAAAATCAATCCCAGCATTCCTTTTGTGACATGAAACCTTGTGGTTCAATGTCAGAGAGATCCATACACTAACACACAAGTTATGTCTGGAAGTTACAAAAATGCTTATTTTTGGCCCCTAATTCCTTAACTGTTGGTACCATAACCCCCAAAATCAATCCCCATCTTCCTTTTGTGGTATTGAACCTTATGGTAAAATTTCATAGAGATCCATTCACTTAAACTAAAGTTAGAGTGCGAAAACCAATGTGTCTTCGGACGACGACGCCAACGTCATACCAATATACGATTTTGCAGTCGTATAAAAATGTTAAAGTTAGCATGATGAGTAGAGAATTAATTTCCGAGTTCAGTAGCATGTTTGTATACATTGCTTTCTATCCAAGAATGAAGATGATGCACATCCAAGAGCTTGTCCATTCTACTAGATATTGTTTTAAATGAGTCATGAGATCTGCCTGCTGTAAAAGTGAAAGGATTTACATTTTGCAGGTCGAATATTATGTCCAATTCATCCTTGATGGCATCAATGCTGGAATGTTTTTTACAACGGATGATTACTCCTGAAGTTTTGTCAACATTTTCAGCTATATCCTTTATTGCTGGAAGAGCACTTGTTCTTGTCGTTATGTTTTTATCGGTCTTATTTGAAAACATGTGTTTAATGTTACGTTTTACGGACTTCACAATGTATTTTGTAAATCACATGGTATATGGCTGTCTATTTTCCCTTTAGTGTTCACGAATAGTCCATAAAACTCTTCATGTGCCTCCTGCTCTGACAATATGCACAACTGATGAACCAATAATCTTAAAATTTCATAGGCATACTTGGACAAGTTGTTTGCCTTGAAATGTATCATGCAAACTTTCAATAGTCGTAGACCACGATCCCTATCTGGCAGTTTGCAAAGATCCAGTATTGCCTTGAACTGTAACCCAAGTTCAAGACATAAATGTCCATAATTTTTTCACTTTGTCTTCTTGTGGTGTTTGTGATTTCTGTGCCTTTTTAATTACATAGGACCGTCTCTTTCCATTACTTAGTTGAATTGGAATGACAACACCATCAACTGAAATGATAAAATTATTTGTAAAATACATTTGAAATTTATTAAAGGGGCATGTTCACCTATTTGACACAAATTCTCATATTAGATTTATAACAATCATATACACAATGTTAAACATTTATCCAAATTATAAAAAGTGTAAAATAATCAATTTACATTGAATTTTTTTTTTTTCTCTTCCTATTTTGAGTTTTTATTATCTTCACAAAATTGCAATTGAATGAGAATAAACATGATAAATTGATTTTAATAAGTCATAATTCCTATTCAGAATATTTTTTTATTCAACATTCAATTATTTTTTTTTAATTTCTCAAAATATTTGTTTCTGTATTAACCATGTTAACCTTTTGCCCATTTTGTTTACTGATCAATTAAATATTAAAATTATATCAGAATTTCACTATAAGAAGCTACAAAATGTATAATGTACCACTGATTTCAAGACTTCAAATAAAACCTTAAATGCTCAAATTAAGAAGTAAGGAAACAAACTCCATTTCTCGATTTCTGTAAACTTTTTATGTATATTAATGATTTAACATACCTTCAACATTATCCTCTTGGTTTTGTTTGTTCTCTTTATCCCACACATAGATTTCAACAATTTTTTGGAACATATCCATCACCCGTTCCTTCTTTTGGTCCTCTGTACAAACATTGTCAGGTAATACATTTTTTCTTGGTGCAGAAAACACACTTTCCATATCAAAAAAATGGGTAATGGCCTCAACAATATATGCATCTGTGAATGACACAATAAAGTCCTTATCTGCATCAAAATGCTCATTAACATTTGGGTTCAAACTCGTTCTTAGAACCCTATTTGCTTCACATTTTAGGGTGCCTTGTTCCTGCAGTCCTTCTTCACTATACAAACGTTTGAACATCAATTTTACATAGTTCATTTGCATGTGAAAAAATTCGAAAGTTATTGGAGATAAATGTTCGAATCTATTGGATGGTGTGGCAGCTCCTGATCTTAATCTCTTTGCTCCAGAATACCGTTCACGCGTCAACTGGTCACCCCCACAATGAACGTTCGTATTGTTGTTAAAGTCCAATCCAGCTTTTTCATAAGTGTCACTTAGGAAATTTTCATAATAGTCCATAATCTGAACAACATCATCATATTTCTGTTCATTCAAATGGAGCACGGGTAAAGGAACAACCTTGTTTTTCTCCTTCAATTGCTCACTATATTGACCAACAATCTGTTTTGTAATTAATTTTTCAAAAATCTTTAAGGAATATGTTTGAAGGCAACATGAAGCATATGTATGGCATATTCCTCCTTGATATGCTTCCATTCTTCCGACGAAGGAAGGAAAAGCTGATGGTCTACTTCATAGAAAAGTTTTTGAGGTTTAATTCTGCTTATATTGTCAAAAGATAGGGTCTGAACAATCACAGCGGATCCAAAAGCATGATGCATTTTACCATGGTTGTCTTGTCTCTCGTCGTGAACATTTGTCTTCCAATTAATGTTGTCTCCTACCAAGCGAATCCTTTTCTCATCTTTCAGAGCATCAATGACAGCGGAGTTGAAATTTCCAGAAAATTTGTCCAATATGGTAAAACCATGACCATAGCTCAAACAGACACCTATAGGTTGCAATCTGTCAAATACCTGTTGATGAGAAATTCACTTGTTAAAAATGATTTTGTACCAATGAAAACAACTTGACAACATTTTTTATATTCATTTTATTTGCACAGGTGAATAGGCTGTTTTAACCACAGGCGCTTGTGGAGTGGACCTCCCCCTTTTTTATTTTTTGTGTCTACTATTTTTTATTTAAGGAATGACTGTAATACTTTTTCTGTCTATGAAGAAATAACATCAAAAATGTGGTGCACACTGAATAACCCGCGTAGCGGGTTATTTTAAAGTGTGCACCACATTTTTTATGTTATTTCGAATAGACAGAAAACATATTACAGTCATTTCTTATAATTTAATTCTAAATTCCAAAATTATGTCTATGAGCTGATAGACAAAACAACGTCAGCCAATCAGAAGACGCGTTACATCCAAAATTTAATTATTTGAACTTATTCAGAGTGTTCTTACTCTTAATATCAATGCAATTTAACCGTTTCTTTGTATGTCATGTACGTTGCACCTCTATTCTTATTTTCCATAACGGTTTAACCTACTTCTGTATTACAGTGTAGAAATCTTGTATTCAACCATTCCACATTAAAACAAATGTCATTTAATTCCACTATGTACATTACATGTATGTATTCATTCAAATGCTTTGTTTGTAAAGCTTCAGTAAAAAATAATTGACATACTCAAATTACCTTTGACATTTATTGTCCTATCAGAATAAAAATATAATTCATGGTTGCCAGCTTAAGTTTAATTTATTTAAAAAAAAACAGCATAAAAATGCATCCTATTATGTACAATATACCTAAAAATTATGGCTACATGACCTTGAATTATTGCTTAAATAATATTTTAATGCATTCAATTTACAGAAATACATACTTCTTCACTGCTGTTTCATTTCTTTGATTCATGCTTGAATGAATAAAACTTCAATTTTCATACATGCATTCAGTCCCTGAAAATAATCAGCATACTAAAGAATGTTACATGCAATGCTGTTAACAATGGTTAATGTGCAAATCAACGGAAAAAAATATTAAAAATGTGTAAGCACGATGGCTCAAACCAAATAATCTTGTGCTTGTGTTGTGTGTTATCTGCTTTCCACATATTTGTGCAAGCAAACAAATATTGGCAAACATTAATGAACTCTCAAAAGTCAGATACAACCTGTACATGAAAGGAAAACAAATATACATGTATGTATAAAATTGAGAATGGAAATGGGGAATGTGTCAAAGAGACAACAACCCGACAATAGAGCAGACAACAGCCGAAGGCCACCAATGGGTCTTCAATGCAGCGAGAAACTCCCGCACTGCTTTCCACATATTTGTGCAAGCAAACAAATATTGGCAAACATTAATGAACTCTCAAAAGTCAGATGCAACCTGTACAACATTGTACATGAAAGGAAAACAAATATACATGTATGTATAAAATTGAGAATGGAAATGGGGAATGTGTCAAAGAGACAACAACCCGACAATAGAGCAGACAACAGCCGAAGGCCACCAATGGGTCTTCAATGCAGCGAGAAACTCCCGCACCCGGAGGCGTCCTTCAGCTGGCCCCAAATGCTTTCAAGTTTGACCTTTTATTCTGCATTGCAATATTTAATTTCTTATCAGGAAACTTAATTATTTCTGAATTTACAGTTTTATATATGATATCATTTTTACACTAGTCATTTTTAATAGAGCCTTTCATAGCTTGACCTGTAATTGCGTTAACTTTTATATTAAGTTTTCGAATTTAGCACAAGACTGCCAGCCTCTAGCCTGTGAAAATCTTTTCTGTCTTGTTGATTTTTGTGAATTTTGTAATACAATCTTGAGAAAAATGTGGAGAATAATGAATTTGGTCCTGGAAATGCCAAACCACAATTTATGACTGTATATTTACTACTTTAGGTCTTTGAAGGAATGTTGTTGCATTGGCAATCATATACCACATCTTCTTATGTTTTAATATTACCATTACATACATGTACATGTAATGTACATGTACATACTGAGATTGATAACTTTTAGAGACATTGTGTCAGTCATGACAGTCTTAAGCCAAGGACAGACATACAAAAACCAGGTGTGATCTCATGCTGTTTTTTAATTAACGTTACCTGAATCAAGCTACATGTGTAGGAGCATGATATTTGTTTTAAATATATATGTCAAATATGAATAAATTACTTAACAGATAAACTGTTAGATAACATAACCATGATAACTTTAAACCTTGTTTACAATTATGTAGTATTAGAAATTTTGCTTCTTTTACAGGTACTCACGAATATTATTATCCAAACATTTTGCCAAAGGGGAGGAAGAAAATATTATTTATATGAATTTTGCATTTTTTTTTTTTAAACTAAGCTTTTTCCATCTAATTTTCTTCATCATATATTTGTACGTAGGTAGAATGTACATTTTTAAAATGATAATTCTAATTTTCTGTCATGACTAGTACTTACTGTTGAACATACATGTATACATATACATGTACATATACATGTATGAATGTAATCCTCTGATAAAAATTATTAATTTGGTGAGTTAAAACATTTCAAAAGGCAATGGGTTAAATTTTCAAGCAGGTTCACATACATTGTATCAGGTATAAAAAAAACTGGAAAAAAATGTTTGTTTATCCGCTTTTTACCCAACCTAATGTCCAAATTACATGTACATACAATTTTGATCTGACAATAGAAAGAAATTGTATTTCAAAATTTCAGAACTCAATTTGTTCGAATATTATTGAATTTTGATTTCGTGTCAGATTGATATACATGTATGCGTGTTACAGAAATAGATTAGTCATCACACTGTTTCACACATTATATACATGTACATGTGTATGTCAGCTGCATGTTAATGTACATTGTATGTACATGTACAATGTACTTGAACATGTCATTTGTGCATATATATACATGAATTTGGTACATGTAAGTCACTGAGTTGTTAAACAAACATTTTTTTTAACCATTCAATTAAAATCAACAAGCTATATATAGCAAATAAATTACCTTTTGATCACACAGGTTGTCAAACAGGTTGATGCTTATAACTCTCTGCACCTTACTCAGTTCATGATTTCTGCCCTGTGCAAGAACGGAATACAAAAATCCAATTCTTGGAGTTAGAGATGCAACTCGTTCTACTTTAGTCTTTTGTTCCAAACTGTCAGGGACTAAAAATGCCAGCAAAACATCAACAAGAAGAGGGAATTCTGTCACTGCCTCATTTACAATACTGTCCCAAGTAAACTGTTTTAAGTCTTCAAAATCCTTTGTCATTAATGTGCTTATTTTTCCATGCTTTCTGTTTTTCAAAATTTTGTGTTCTTTTGATAACTCCGAAAACAGTTCTTCTTTCACAAGAGTTTTAATTTCAGCAAATTGCAATATGGTGTTAACCAAAGTTTTCCGTGATCTTGTTGGCAAAACAGAAATAACAGTTTTGTGACAGCAACACAACAACACAATTTTTAAAGACAATTAAAAGAAATATCCTACTGTTTTAACAAAGGCCGGTATCGCACTAATTCGAACACTGTGTACATTATTATCATAGGGGGACCTAGTTACGGAACATTCTCAATGTTCCGTTTAGGACAATTTCTTTCTGATACTATCTTTGGCTATAAGAAATTATTGACGAGCTGACATGAAACAAAACTTAGAAATCAGCCTAATAAAAAAATTCAATCCTACATTTAATTAAAAGATTAACTTAGTCAAAATCTTGAGCTTGACTTTTTCTTGTCACATTAAATTATATGTACAACTTCATCAGTTTATATACATTTGAAAGAAATACAAAACAGAATTTAAACACACTCCATGTAATAAAAAAACCCAACATATTAATACTTGATAAATAACAAGTATATATGCATATAGCTTATGTCCCTTCTACATTTATAACATTTAATTTCATTCATTCTTGGCTTCGACTTGTTTGATCCATTTTGGGGTGTTAGTCCCTTTATATGGCTTTAACTTGTTATGGTTGACCACTTTGTTGGTTCCTTTTGCATCTATGTGGATTTAGTAATTTAGGTCATTGTATCCGTTTACTATCAGACATGGACCCAAATACAGCGAAAACTGCAATTTAACAGCAAACGGTCATTGTCTATGTGCAGCAATATCAAGTTATCAGTTTTGAATGTTAAAAGTGGAAACACATATCAAATATATATATAAAACGTCTTTTTCTGTGGTGATCAAATACATATATAAAACGTCTTCTTCTGTGGTGATCAAATATATATATAAAACGTCTTCTCTTCTGTAGTGGTTCAAAAACCACAACCATTCTCCTCAACATATTGTTATACATAGAACGACAAATTTATTTATCATGATAGACAAAATAAACAGCATGGAAATAAAGTAAGAACTTAGATTATTTAAAGAAAATATTTGTATGGAAAAATACTTATTAATTTTGAATGAGGATGATAGGCGACTGCTCACTAAAGTTCAGAGTCAGTGCACATAAATTAGAAATTGAAAGAGGCAGGTATGTGGGGCTTCGAGTGGAGGATAGAATATGTAAATTATGCAACACTGAAGTTGAAGATGAAATTCATTTTCTTCTCCAGTGTCCTGTTTCAGAAAATAAAAGATCTGAATATATCAATTACTTAAATAAGGTTAACAAAAACTTTAAAAGCCTCCCAAATAAATCAAAATTAATATGGTTAATGTCATCTGAGGATAATGTTATGATTAAAAAAGTAAGTTTATTATTGTGTACTTTATTCAAAGAGAGAAATTTAATTTTAGATACAGTTTAGTCACCGGTAGTTTGCCCATCTATATTATATTGTAAAACTGTACATATTATTCCTGTAAAAATTATTCAGCTGAGAAAGACTTGATTTTGTTTAATTGTTAAATAATCAATGTAATCAATATGTAATGACTTGTATGAAATTGAACTTAATTGTACTGCCCAAATTATTGAGCGTCATAATTGACAATAAAAAAACTTTGTATTGTATTGTATAATAGATAAAATCCTTTATTTGACTAAGGTAACTCATTTAACAATAGCAGGTTTATCATTCCTGAGGCCTTCAAAACTCATTATTACAAATTGAGAAAACATAAATCAGTTAACTATATTAATGTGTTAATTAATGTGTCTCGCTGGGCTCTGCGTTTACCCAATAGGTTGGACTATCTAAAGATGAAATATGTGATATTACCATAACTGTATGTAAATTCCTGCTGGGCTTCGTAGTTATTATCGTACGTCCACACTCGTGATGGTTGTGTCGTCCCTCAAAAAATAATTAAAGCTTAACAGTTAAAACTTTGTTTAACATATCAATTTGGACTTAATAAACAGACCGTCAACCGTCCCACTAGCATGGAATAATCCCCATGTCAATATATATTTCAGTTTCTGTTACACGTGTTTTACACATAGGACTCAAATTTGGGAATGATCACTTAGACTTAAAATACCTTATACTTTTAACCTCTAATCTCCTTGAGAGAACCAAATTTACTACTCCTCTTTAAATCATAGAAACTTGTGCTTGACCACTTAACCATTTGTAATTCCAACAATAAATAGCAAATATTTGAAGTCCAGAAGGGCAACCTGATTTTATTTGTTTGAAGAATATAATAGCCCCTCTGTGCAGAACAAACCTAACATACTGTTCAGCAAACTTGAAAAAGTAAAATCTCAAAAATACTGAACTCCGAGGAAAATTCAAAAAGGAAAGTCCCAAATCAAATGGCAAAATCAAAAAAACAAACACATCAAACGAATGGATAACAACTGTCATATTCCTGACTTGGTACAGGCATTTTCTTATGTAGAAAATGGTGGATTGAACCTGGTTTTATAGGTAGCACAACCTCTCACTTGTATGACAGTCGCATCAAATTCCATTATATTGACAACGATGCGTGAACAAAACAAACAGACACAATAGGTAAAAATGTCAAAAATAGGGGTACAGCAGTCAACATTGTGTTATCATCTTAATCACTATAAAAACAAACAAATGTAACGAAGAAGCACAAAAAGGCATACATCAAATTTAAAATCCTCATTTTGCTTATATTATACGATTTTATTTATCTATGTAAAATCCACACATAAAGGATGGAAGGTTTTAAGTACTGGCGTAAAATCGCGCGTTTCAAATTCGCACAGGTAAACATAAAATAATTTTGTCGTTCAAAGTATGACGGGATACATAAATACAGAGTCACGTAAAATTGATAAAACAAAAAACAGACTTAACAGTAAAAGTAATATTAATAAATAAAATAAAATAATTGTGTGGTACAAAGTATGACGATATGCATAAGCACAGAGTCACGTCAAATGGATATCTAAAAAAAAAACAGACTTAACAGAAAAAGTAATATTAATAAAGATAAATAAAAGAATACTATAACACGTTATTAAGATGATAAACAACGTCAGTACGTAAAATCTATACTTCAAGACCATCGTGTATTATTTGTGAAGTTGATACGGAATATTTATCAACAAGTTCTTGGTACTGTAGCAATTGTGGTTGGGCGTGTAATGCAATATTACCTGAATATCTGACTCAAGTTCTCCTAGAATAAGCTTATTATAACACAACTCTGCAGTCTTAGAGAAAGCGAACTGTCTTGCTTGAAGCTTGGAAAATAGAAGTGAGGCTCTGCCTGGTTCCTGTCTGGTTCCTTGTTTTTGGTCTGTTCCTTCTATCCGTTTTCCCATCATATAGAGAGCGAGGTTTAGGCTTGTCTGGTTCCCGGTTTCAGATATCATATTCCTCCTATATTGGAGAACCGCTAAAGCGGTGTATCAATCATCCAACGGCACCACAGTACCTTTCGATGAATTTTTTTAGAAAAATTACGAGACGTTCTTTGACATACCCCTGCTTCAACAACTTTCTGCTCAGACACTGGTGACGGTTTGAATTTATCATAACAAGAAACTAACAGTATCCAATAGATTTTAAATGATTTCCTTCAAACTGTACTTCCGCCAAGGGTGTCTGGGAAACAGACACATGGTCACTAGAGGTCTTCTTCCGACTGGCAGTAAAATCATTGCGAAAGTGGGGCGTCCATTTAACATGGGGATGTAAAAGTACGCAGCCACATCCGGTCAGAATGGGGACGTTAAATCCGATGCCGCGTATAGAGAGAGTGCCACGCTCTCTGCACGTTAAGAGCCCTTGAAACAACTCTTTGAGGGGATCGTAGTGGTGCACATTAGGAATCCTTGCAACAACTCTGAGTATTTCTTAGTTGTGCACAGTAAGAACCATTGCAACAATTCTTTGGAGGGTTCGTAGGTGGCCTGTTGCAAGTCAAAATTTCTGTCCGTATCCAATATATCGTCATTTTTAGTGGCAGTTTATATTCCCCCGACCTTAATCCCGGATGGCCTCTTACAGGATCTACTTATTGTATTTATTGTTAATTTGTTTTTGTTCTGAACATGCTTGACATATATGCCACTGGACGTTAAGCAACCTACAATCAATCAATCATTTTTATGGTTTGGGTACGATAAAGATTTGTAATGCCGATCAACTTTTTCATTCCAATGACAAACTGCCAACTGACTCCTAGCTAGGTTATTATCATCACTTGAGCAATTCCCTTATATTTGAACACGTTCATATTTTTAAAGGGCATTAGCCACTAGATATAAGAAATCATTAACGAAAGTGATATAGTGAAATATTAATTTGCTTTTAGCAGCCAATTTGGTACAATAATGTCAAAATAAGATCAGAAACATCGCTGATGAATTATTCGCTTGCAAATGTTTATATCGTGAATCAATATGACACTTTTGGTGGTTGTTCTAATAATGCTCCACACTATTTAATAGTATCTTTTACTTCACACATGAACGCGCAACTTGCATATTAAGGGCAGTCATTTTGAAATTATTTTTTTTCTATGAGATTAAATGATTGATTGATTGTTGGTTATCTAACGTCCAGTGGCAAATATTTCATGCATGTTCATGACGAGAACAAATAAACAATTAAAAACCAATTGAAGGTCTTTCCACATTACATTTCTAAATAATTGATAAGAAGCTACTTCCAGTTAATCCAAAGTTACTATTGGCATCCACTCATAGGTTTCTTCATACTGATTATCCCCCCAAGGGTGACATGGGAATAGAAGTATGGTCACCATTGGTCTTCTTCCTAACGACAGTAAAACCCTTGCTAAAGTGGGGCGTCCGTTTGGCTGTGCGGGATGTACAAATTTGCAGCCATGTCTGGTCAGAATGGGGACGTTAAATCCGATATCTCGTGTAAAGAGAGTGCCACGCTCTTTGCACGTTAAGAAACCTTGCAACAACTCTTTGAGGGGTCCGTAGGTGACCTGTTGCAA